TGCAGAGACATTTGTTTCTCAAGTTTCATTAAATATAGGACATTTAGAGTCATTTATTGGACGTGTTTGTCTGTTTTTCAAGGTTTAGCACCAATCTTCATGGTGATGGTGATAGTTATAGGGATACTGACAGGGTTTGGATTCTCATCGTTTATATACTTAAGACGGAGGCAAAAGAAAGAAGGTGACTGTCTTTCTCACATCAATTCACTTGATATAGAATCATTTTTATTCTCATCTGCTTTAGTAAATCACAGCATTTCCAAAGTCAAACCAGACTTCTGTGTCACAGAGCTGCATGTCGTGTCAAAAAAAAGGTTTTTGTCACAAACCAAAAAATCTGGTGTCACAAAACAGGAACACAGCCCAAAGATGTGGTTCGTGGCCCGACTAAGAATCTGCCCAGTGGAGATATGGGAGAAACTAGAGAAGTGAGTTGCATCATGTGTCTGTATGTGGATATTAGTCATATTTTCCACTCTTTATCCATTTGTTCTAACTCTGGTGTTTTTTCTTCTCTTCAGGCGGACTGCGATTATGAAGACATCAGTAGCACTCTTGATCATCCTGACTATAGTCTGGTGCTTCCAGCATTTGCTGAACATGAAGCCTCTGTTTATGCTCTAGCACAATTACCCAGCAGCCCCTCGGACGATCTCAACTACTCCAGCATCAAGTTTACAGCGGCTCATCATTCAGACGGGACTTCTGACGGGCAGGAGACATGCGACTACACAACTGTTAGACCATGAAAGACTGAGGACATTCATGGAGACCAGGCTGAATCACACCGAACTAAGACTGCATCGCACTTGCTTTGTGATTGAAATCTGTGGCCCTGGTGTTATTTTGGATCAATTTCATTGGAGACGTAAGATATTTGGTTGGTTACGTTTCTGATCGTCTGTTATTTATTCATACCCACAAGTCCTTTAGTATTACAGTGCATAGTGAAGAATGAAATGAGTGGAGAAAAGAAATGTCGTGGAACATTAATAAAAGTTCAAATTAAAATCAGAATGAAAAGTATTGTGACAGGCTGAAATGTCAGTGTGAGCTAATTAATATTCATGAGATAGATGTGGTTATCTACGCCCTCCCAGTCTCAACATCTTTTCTGCTTTTTACAATGATTTTACAATTATATATATATATAAATATGGGTCAAAGACGTTAAGATGTCTGCATCAAAATACATTTACAAAAGTGATTTTATGTTCATAGAAAGCACATTAAATGTAAGTAAAGTGTCTACTTTTAAGGTTTCAAATAAGTTTTTGGAGAATAAACTGTCAAAATTTGGTTGAAATAATGTTACATTGTCATTCAGTGTAACACAATATTTATGTAACAATTCAAACAACATTATTTTTCTGACTTGTGCATATTAAAATATATAAAAGAATAAGGGAACATATGAAATTGTACTGTGTTTTAAATGAATAAAAACCTTACTGACAAATGGGCAAAACCTAGGATAGTGGCACATTTTAAAAATTAAAAATTACAACTAATTAGTATTTGGGGTGAAAGTAATTAGTCTTTTAATATGTCATAAATTGATTTTTGTTGTAAATATGCCTGACAAGATTGTTACACTGAATTACATTTTAGTGGCTCTCTTCTGTAAATCAGGGGAAAATGTATGATATTTATCTTTTGCTCAGAAAAACTAAAACAAAATTGCACTTAAATTAAACAGAAAACGTTTTACATTTTTGGGGGAAAAACAACAAGAATTTAAAGCAGTATTACACTTATAGTTTTTCTTTGACCCATATAGTATAAAATCTCACATTATAAATTCGTACATCTTCATAATTTAGACTGATAAAGATATTGCTGTAGTCAGTAATCACATGCATCACTATTATATAATGTTCCCACTTCGCCAACCTTTAGAAATGTGCCAGAATGAAGCAGAACTGTTTAATATTTCAAGGGAAGTTATTCAGTTGAAGTGATGGGGTCAGGACATAGCCATAGCAAAATATGGCAATATTTAGTGATGAGTATTTATTGATGAGTCGCCTTAATTCAGTAGATCCCAATATTGCTCTATAGTCTCACAATTCATCCCAGCAACGTGAAAAAAAATACTGGAAATTGCATTTAATATTTCCTGCTCCGTGCACATGCACAGTTTAATGCTCGCACAAACAACACGACGATCGGGAGAGAGAGGAGAGAGAGAGAGAGAGGAGAGAGGGAG